ATTTAAAGTTGCAAATAAAACTTATAAAAGTTAAGCAAACAAAAAACTTATGACGAAAGCAGTTTCATCTGCAACTCAATCTGAAAATCCACCTTCTGTTCCTGGTTTTGCGTGACAACGTCGCGCAGCTACTTATTATATAATTTGATTTGTCAATTATCATGGGTAGATCTAATATCTTCTCATGACTTCTGTTATGCCCGAAATTAAAAATTTTCCTTGTAATTTATTGTCTTGGGAATCGGTAAGCCACATCGTCTATCGCAGTGTTGCTAATTTTGGAATTTCTAGCCTTACAGTGGAAATTTCTAATCGTAAAAGTTCCAGTGGCACTATTGATTTTCGCTTCCAGTGAATTTCCAATGGTCTTCCAGTGTTTCCAGTTAACAACGCTGGTCTATAGGATCGAAATTAGGTCAACCGTCAGTTTGAACTACCAAGAGGTTAACAGCTACCAGGAAGAGCTAGTAACTATCTAAGGGAAAGAAAAACCTACGGGAGTAGCTAGTAACTGACAGAAGTAGCTAGTGTGAGATCCGAAAACGTGACTGATATCACGTGTCATAAATCCCGAATGTCAGAAATGTCAGATATGTCAGATATATTTGATATATCTGACATATCTGATATATCGCCTATATCGCATAAGTGTGATATATTAGATATATGCGATATATATGATAAATTAGATACGTTCGATATCCTAGACAAGTTCATAATGTAAATAGACAAGACAGTTTATTATAAATAAAGGGCAATTCGCCCAGGAGAAAGGGGAGTGATTACAATTATGAAACATAAACTAAATACCCGACCCATAGTAAAGTGAAAGTGTTGCCTTATACGACCAGTTATTATCGTAAACCCCATCTCTAACAATATCCGTTAACCCCAACAATAAACTAAACCTGTAATTGATCGCTCGCCTAGTCACATGCCCGGTAAACCGTAATGAAAGACCCGAGAAGAGTTCTAACTCCGATTCGACGTAGTGAAATCCCGGTTGAGACAAACGAAAGACAATAAGAATTAGGTTGAAGAAAAGACTCAAGAGAAGAGACCAGTACTTACCTACGGACGATAATCCACTCGCCAAATCTAACACGTCTGTTTCGACTTAGCCGCCATAGGTAACACGAGAGTTGGCTTAGTAAAGAAGAAGACTCACCGAATTCCGAGACGACACTATTAACTGACAGAAGTAGCAAGCAACTGACAGGAGAAGTTCTAATACTTTTAACCAAATTCCAATTTTTTCTCATTTCATGCGCATAGGAATTATTCAGAATCTTTATGAGTTTTCAGAATATTCCGGAACCTATTGAAAATTTCCGGCTCATATTATCTATTGCAGTATTGCTTCACCGGCATTATAAAAATCATGTGCATTACCTTATAGTAATATAACTAAACAATGCCAATAGTATATTGTTAGTATTGGTTAGTATTACCTTTACTATTTTATTTGTAATCCTACTTATCTTAATAAAGATCCGGCTCTTCTTTATGTTAAACATTGTTATTCAGAATTTGGCGAGTCTGTTCGCAACTCTCGAATAACCTACAGAGGCTAAGTCGAAATAGGCATATTAGACTTGGCTGGTGGTTTATCCATAGGTAAGTACTAATTTCCTTCTCTTATCAGCCCTTGTATAACTTTACCCAGGCTTACAATACGTCGAATCAGAGTTGGAGTTCTTCTTTTGCATTAACGGTTTGGTCATGTGACTTGCAGTGAATGTTCAAAGGCGGTTGTAGTGGTTTATAAATGAATGATAGGGCAACAGTGGGATTAACTACAGTTTATTAGTTTGTATAGAGTAATACTTTCACTTTTATTAGGGGTCAGATATTTAGTGTTATTAGGAGATTTATTGGTATATGGAACAATTCTCTCTTTCTCCAGGCAGAAATGCCCTTTATTTATAATAAACATTTTATTTACATTGGTAATTAATTTCAAACATAAATATAATATCTTTTATGTCTTAATTATATTTAATAAAAGGTTGATATCTCATTTATCACATATGTAACAGAAATGGTATAAGTAAAAAAGTAAGAAAAGTAGCAGAAGTAATGTGTGACCTTGGATTGGGTAAGGATTATTATTTTGATTTGGGCACCTATGATTTCCAAAAAATTGAGCTCACAACATCATATTTTCATTATTCTTTCATAACTTATTAGACAAAGTCTATACTATATACTATATGTATACAAATCTTAAACTTGTTTTTAAAAAGAAATAAAATATGAATTAGTAACATTCATTCCTTAAAGCATAACATTATTAACTAAAGCATAACATCATTAATTAAACTTACTACTACTTATAGTTAATTCACATTTATTTATATTAATATGGGTGAAATGGCAAATTAGTTACTTAACAGATGAATTCATTATATAATCTACAAATGGTTTAGTTGATTAAATTTGAAGAATAATGTGTTTATGTTTGCAGGTTTTATATATTATGAGTTCCAAAATCAGTACCACTGTTATAATGGTCATATGTGGCACATAATCAATTATTAAATTTAGGTCCTGATGCCTACCTGAGTAATTGGTCACATGAAATATAAGATTTATTTTATTTTTCTTACTTTTATTATATTTATTATTTTTATTAATTTGGATAGATTGATGGTATAAGGGACATTTGGTTTTTTAATATTATAATAGAGAAGGGAGTTTTAAGGCTAATATAGTGTAAATAGATAATGTAGAGGAAATTATCCTCGAATGTAAATAAATAGTTTATTATAAATAAAGAGTTTTTCATCTAGGGGGAGTAACAAATAAGACTCCCAAATAAATACAATTGCTAAATAAACTTAAGCATCAGGTTCATATTGAAAGTAAAACTATAACCTAACTCAAACTGAAAACTATCATTAAATCTATTATATCTAACTATCATTTATTTATAAATTACTAAAACTGTATTTTGTTCATTCGCCACAAGTTATGTAACCAAGCCATTAATGTGAGAAAAGAACTCTAACCTGATTTGATATGCTATAACCTCAGGTTAAGGAAGTAAAGAGAGAAAAGAGAAGGCAAGAGTTAATAAAAGAATAGGTTAAAGGAAGAACTTAGAAGAGAAGAGTAGTACTTATCTACAGATAAACAACCCAGCAAAATCTAATATATCTATTTCGACTTAGCCACTATAGGTTATATAAAAGTTGAATTAGAATAGCAACTAAATCATCAATTTACCAAATTACAATATATTGTTATGAAAGCAGGAAATTATTTTGGTTAAAATGTATTACAAGTAGGTTTCTTTATTATAGAATTTGTAATGTTTAATTATATTATGTAAGATTTGTATAGAAAGATGAGTTGAGTAGTTTTTAGTAGCTGCAAAGTTTAGATTTGATAAAAAATTTTGATTTGAAATAATATTATCTAGTCAGTTTGTGAATATTTTAGTAAAACTTTTTTGAAAAATTCTATTATAGAGATTGTCAAACTTGATTTAGTTATAATTTCAGTTTGATTTTTTAGAAATTAAAAAGATATTAGAAGATTTTTAGTCTAAGAGGATTTTCTAAAGTTAAAAATATTTGTTTAAGAAAAGAAAAAAATATTTTGTGCTTTAGAACTAGTGAATTTTATATGTTTATAGTAGGTTTTAAGAAGTTCTACTATTTTTTGATTAAATAGATCAGAAATTAGGTTTTGACATTCTTATTCAGATATATTATGTATGAGATTTTGATAATAGACTTCAAATTCAATATGTGATTTATAAAGTGAAAAGTATTCTAATAATAATGAAATAGTTTCAAAAAGATTAGGTTTAAAATATTTAGTGAAGTGATGTTTAATTGCATTTAGTATTTTCTCATGTTTTATAAGAAAATTAGTATTAAGAAATAATCTATTAATATAAATATAGTTGTATTTTTTAAGTACTTTTTTATAAAAAAGTTTAGATATTTCTTTAAATAATTTGTTTTGATCTTCTATTTTTTCTTTGATTTTTTCATATATAAATTGTTAATATTGGTGATTAAGTGCAATTTTAATAAGTTAGAATTCTTCTTTAACTTGGGTCAAGAAGGGTAAAGGTGTTTGAAGTGAGCAGTCTAAGTATTTAGTTTGGTATTTAGTAAGTAGTATATTAAAGTTGATTGAATATATATTATTTTTAAGAAATTGTATTTTTTTATAATAGAAATAAAGTAGAAAGTAGAGGGTATGACAACCTAGTAAAATGGATAGGTTATCAATTTCCAAGTGGCAGGTCTAAAGTTCAAATCCTAGTGATAGTGAAAATTTGCAATTCTTTTTGTATTACAGTTAATTGTCTTCTATAATTAGTTAAAATAAGATATCTGTAATCTTATCATATCAGCATAATTGAAAGATCTAGACATTAGTATAATGTTATATAAAAGAATACAAACTAGTACTGAGCAGTATGAATTCAAGATTAGTTCTTAGGTCATGTAAATTATAGAAACTAGGTAGGAAGATGGAAGCCTACTTGAAAGGCCTAAGTAGAGAGGTAACCTAAACTTTCGATAATGTTACTGTAAAGACTAAACTTATAAAACAAAGCTAGAACTTATAAAACTAGACAAATATGCTAGTCTTTGAGAAGAAACTAGATAAACCAACCAGACTACTGAAATTTCCAGATTTTGAAGAAAAAAGATACATGCTAGCAAATATATAAACCAGAGGTATGATTATGGTTTATATTTTTGGCTATCTGAAATAACAGCTTGGTGAAATTTGAAATAAATACCAAAGTAATAAGAATATGTTATAAAGTTAGTACTGAGGTTAGGTTAAACTTTATAAGAGCATAGCAGTTTAATAATACACCCTAACTACCAGTATTAGTCTTAGCTATAGTGATATTAGGTTAGCTGTAATAATAGAATACAGAAGATTCTGAAAGGTTTAGTCAAAATCAAAGATTCCAAAGAACTATTTTAAAGATATAGTTGTTATAACATATTTTTATTGACATTAACTGAGATCATTAGTAGGCAGAGATAGGTGATTAGATACAAAAACTAAAGTGCTTAGATAGGAAACTTATAAGTAGGTTCTAGGTATAGCAACTAATATAAAACCTTCAAGCAGACTACTTAAATTAGACAATAACTAAAGTTATATAAGTAGCTAATTGTATACTTTTTCTATAGTTGACCTCTGTGATTGTTATGCAACTATACTATCAATAAAATTCTAGATCACAAATATTTACTTTAATATTTAAAAAAAAAATAAATAAAATAAAAAGTATTTTGGTAAAGTTGAGTCTTTGATTTCTTTAATTGATTTAATTTTTTTAAAAGAAATATGCTTAGTTGAAGTTTTAATTAATATTTTGTAAATTTTATTCCATATAGTATTAAGTTAGTTTTGATTTGCAATTAATAGGATTCTAGAAACTAAGTGTTGAAGGTTTTTGGTTGTTTAATTAGCATAGTTTTAAAGATTTTCTTTAATGCAATTTTTCCAAAAAAAAATTTGCATTTGTGTTGTTTATAAAGTTTAGGTTTATTAATTATAATAGAGATTTCTAGGATTATATTGTGATTAAATTATATCAGTTGCAAGAATTTAAGTATAATCAATATTAGTAATAGATAAATTAGTTCAGATTTGATCAATTCAGCTTTGTATATTATTATAACTAAAAATAAAGTTATAAATATTTGAATAAAGAACTTAAAAGATATCTTTGAATTGAAAGCTAATTAGATATTGAATGATTTGACTTTAGAAATTGATAATTTTTTTGAGAGGAATCTGTTAATTCTTGAATTTGGAACACTATTTAGGTCTTCTATAATAATTAATTTATATTTGTTATTTTGAATAAGGAAAATTAAATAATTTTAAACTTCTTTGCAAAGTTGTTTTTTCTTATAAGTTAGAAAGTATATTTGAATAAGTCTGATTGATATATTTTTGAAGTGAAAATCAAGACCAATTATATGTCTATTAAAATTATAAGACTTGGTAATATATTTGAAGATTTTTTGATAAACAAAAATACTAACTTCAACTTAATGAAAATTTGTGAATAAGCTTTAAAAACTAACATAATTTTGAATTTGATTGTTTAAAAATTTGTTTTCTTTAAAGAATAGATGTGTTTTAGAAAGTTCAAAATTTTCAAAATTTTCTTATTATAAGAGTTTAGTTAAGATAAGTTTTTATTATCTTACTAAGTATTGGAAACCAATAAGGTCTGAAGCAAACTTTTTTAATAATATATATACAG